GAGCTTGTTTTTTTTTACTTTTATTAGGGGAATTGAACTTGGAAGGGGTGTATGGGATTCCCAAAGGAACTGCAAATGAGAACAACTTCCTGCAACTATATCTTTACACAGCAAAATATCTCTTCTTAGAGAGCTCTCCAGCCTCTCCTGGTGTACCACCCCAGACCCCAGACAATCCTCCTCTATCCAGGTGTCTGAAGGAATCCTTGGGCAAGGGGATCCAGTGCCTGCCACTGTAAGCTGAACAGGCCCTAGTAAGGAGCTAATCAAGTTCTCAACCAGAGTGCCCTTTAACTGGCCCAGGGAGTGTAGGATTACTCACTCAGTCCTGTTCATATAAGTTGGTGGGTTGGTATCTGCTTTCAGGCCTTCCTCTGGACTGGCACAGGTGGTCCTCACTCTGAGTTTTTTGAGGTCTGAGTTTTCTTCCTCTCCAGCACCACTGCCTGGAGGTGGACTCCTTCCCAGCTGAGCCCCCTCCCTGGCTCCTGAACCTCAGCCTTCTCACTCCACCTTTCACCTGAACTCTCCTGCTGCTGAGTAGACTCTATCACATTTAAAGACTGCCCTGGTCCATTGGCCTCCTGCTTGGGGATTGGCTAGGGTCCCTTAAGTGTGCAGGCCAGCCTCTCCTCACCCTCACCCATTGCTTCTAGAATCGTCTCCAAGATTCTAGAGCAGGGGGAGGTATCCATGAACTGACATGCAGAGCCTAACTCCCAGTAGCTACCTAGGAGCATTGCACAGCTAAAACACTTCCTTTCTAGTTTTGAATAGATTGATATGCTAGTCGCATATACTGTACAGTATATTGTTCTGAATGAAAAATTGTTTCAATATTTTGATCAATTTACCGATTTCATCACTTCTGAATGATTTTCAGGGACAAAAGAAATCAAATAGATTCGAAAATTACACTAGTTTACAAGTCAATCATGTAAAGGAATAGGATTGATTCTGACATTTGTTTTTTTCCTTTCAATTAAATTTTGTTTTAAAGTGATCAGACTGATGCAGGCAAAATTAGCACTCTAGATGTTGCAGACATCTGATCTATTAAAGCGATCATATTGAATGGTCAGTCTTTCTGTCCTAGTTCCTCACCATCTGTCCCCAACAGGGACAAAAGCTGGGATAAAAATCTGACAGAGCTTCTAACCTTAAACTAAAAAAAAATGTTTTTGGTGGATATATACTTTAACTACAGTATAAGCCATATGCATCAAAATTCAGTAATCATACATATAGACAATGATTGGTATACTAAAGGAAATGTAAATATACTAGCAAACCGAAAATGCTCATATAAATGACATGCTCATGGAATTAGATATGCCCTTGTGATACATTTAGAAGCAGCCACAGACTCCAATGTATTTATGTGGAATTTACTAACAAGGGTGGTTTGCTATCCATAATGACGTTTCCTTGCCCTGCTTCATTTGCTTTAGTAAATAAGGCCCAATAAGTCTGTGTTTTGTGTTTTCAAAATAACTCAGTAAGAAATGTTCTTGTTCATTTTCAGCTTGGCCTGCACTGTTTCCTCTGGGTGATTTATTTTCCTTTTGGCACAGGCTGGTCAATCACAAGCTGTCTGATGCAGTTCCTTTCATCTGTCCTTTTACATCCATTTTACTTTCTTTAAGTGCCAGTGTATTCCAATAAAGGTAAAAGATTAATGACCATTGCAGTAAAAAATAAATAAATAAATTAAATATTTTCGTTATAACACTGCTTTGCATTTTTTTTGTAAGAAATAAACAAAATCAGCATAGAATAGCATATAGAGGGTGAGAACACTTTTAGAGCCTGCTACTACTTCAAGCCTCACGTGTGGACAAATAATAAACATCATCTTCTATAAATATTACACATTACAATGTAGTTTCTTTTTACTGCAAGCCAATAAGACTTTAGATTAATGTAAAGCTGGCCATAGATGGGTCATTTTTTTTTTCATTCAATCAGCAGGTTGAAAAAAAAAAACTGGCCTGATTCCCCCATCCATACATTTGAGGTACAGTTGCAAGAAAAAGTATGTGAACCCCTTGGGATTACGTGGAGTTTTGCATGAATTGGGCATAAAATGTGCTCTGAACGTCATCTAAGTCACAACAATAGAAGAACACAGTCTGCTTAACATAATACTACACAAACATTAGATGTTGCCATGGTTTAATTGCACATACCATGTAAACATTCACAGTGCAGGGAGGAAAAAGTATGTGAACCTTTGGACTTAATAACTGGTTGACCCTCCTTTGGCAGCAATAACCTCAACCAAACGTTTCCTGTAGTTGCAGATCAGACCTGCACAACGATCTGGAGTAATTTTGGACCACTCCTCTTCACAAAACTGTTTCAGTGTAGCAATATTCTTGGGATGTCTGGTGTGAATTGCTCTCTTAAGGTCATGCCACAGCATTTCAATCGGGTTGAGGTCAGGACTCTTTCTGGGCCACTCCAGAAGGCGTATTCTGTGCTGTTGCAGCCATTGTTTTGTTGAATTACTTGTATGCTTTGGGTCATTGTCCTGTTGCATCACCCATCCTCTGCGGAGCTTCAGTTGGCGGACAGATGGTCGTACGTTTTCCTTCAAAATGTCTTGATAAACTCTGGAATTAATTTTTTCCATCAATGACAACAATCCATCCAGGCCCTGAGTCAGCAAAGCAGCCCCAAACCATGATGCTCCCTCCGCCATGTTTTACAGTGGGGATGAGGTTTTGATGTTGGTGTGCTGTGCCTTTTTTTCTCCACACATAGTGTTGTGTGTTCTTCCCAAACAACTCAATCTTGGTTTCATCTGTCCACAGTATATTTTGCCAGTAGTGCTGTGGAACATCCAGGTGATCTTTTGCAAACTTCAAACGTGCTGCAATAATTTTTTTGGACAGCAATGGCTTCCTTTGTGGTGTCCTCCCATGTACTCCATTCTTGTTTAATGTTTTCCTTATTGTAGATGTGTCAACAAAAATGTTAGCATGTAGCATTTCTGCCAGAGCTGACACTCTGGGATTCTTCTTTACCTCATGCAGCATTCTGCGCTGTGCTCCCTTGCAGTCATTTTTACAGGACGACCACGCCTAGGGAGAGTAGAAACAGTGCTAAACTTTCTCCATTTGTAGACAGTCTGTCTTACCGTGGACACATGAACATCAAGGATTTTGGAGATACTTTTGTAACCCTTTCCAGCTTCATGCAAGTCAACAATTCTTGATTGCAGGCCTTCTGAGAGCTCTTTTCTGCGAGGCATGGTTCACATCAGACAGTGCTTCTTGAAACCAGTAAACCCAAAACAGGTGTGTGTTTTTTAAGGGCAGGACAGCTGTCAGCAACACATCCAATATCATCACACTGATTGGAGTCAAGGTTGGCTCACTCCTGGCTCCAATTAGCTCTGGGAGAAGTCATTAAGCTACGCCACATACTTTTTCCTCCCTGCACTGTGAATGTTTACATGTTATGTGCAATTAAACCATGGCAACATCTAATGTTTGTGTAGTATTATGTTCAGCAGACTGTGTTCTTCTATTGTTGTGACTTAGATGACGTTCAGAGCACATTTTATGCCCAATTCATGCAAAACCCCACTTAATCCCAAGGGGTTCACATACTTTTTCTTGCAACTGTAGATGGAGGAGTCTTCCCCACTGTGTCATTGTATTCTGACAGCGGGACTCCACTGCCATCAGAATACACTGAACAGCGTTGCAGCCAATTGGCTGCAATCACTGATCGAATGGAAATTATCCAGCAGACTGTTCATGAGATGTCAATCTACAGATTAAATAGGACCAGCCAGGGGCTGACTGACCATTTGGAAACTCGGGCACTGCCCGAGGGCCCGGGGTCAGTAGGGAGCCCCATGAGATGCCCCTGGTACCTTTTTCATATTTTTTTTGAGCTTGGGCAAGGACACAGGGGCCCCATGATCCCCTATTGCCCGGGGGCCACATGAGTTGTCAGTCCACCCCTGGGAACAGCCATAGATGGATCAAATGTTGTCCAGTTCAAATTTACACTAGTTTGAAGCTGGCAAGGGAAAAGAGAAGCAACAAACTGACGAGCTTAGCTGTATGTCACTTAGCTCTCTCCCATCATCGTGTTTTTCACTAGCAAATTAACTGAATGATTTGCTTGTCTTGCTTCTTCTCCCTCTCCCAATTTGATTGCCTCTGTATCGGGGACTGTGAAAGGTTGTTACTAGGTCACATTTAGATACTTACGCTGCATGAATTAAAAACAATATAAGTTTAATGATATATTAGTTTACTCATATAAATGCTGAAAGCTGTTCTTTACAGCCAGTTCAGATGCTAAAAATGTTAAAGTGTTACTAAACCAAGGACCCTGCATTCACTATATTTGATCTCCCACTGTACACAGAACATGGAAATGCAATTATTTTAGTAAATTTAACTACTTGCCGACCGCAGATAGCCGAATGACGGCTGCACTGCGGCCAGCCAGTTCTGGGTGAACGTCATATGACGTCCTCCCAGAACGCCCCAGGGGCGTGCACCTGGCGATCTCCGTGATCGCTGTGTCCTACGGACACAGCTGATCACGTGACGTGGTAAAAGGCCAATCACAGCGGCCTTTTACCACGTGATCAGCCGTGTCCAATAACACGCTGATCACCGGGAAATGCAAATGCCGGTTCTCGGCTGCACTTTCCTCACGCTGTCAGATCGTGAGGAAAATACTGCCGAAAACCGGCAGTTGTCAGAGCGGGGATTGGCACCGATCATCAGGGTTACTGATCATCAGTGCCCTGATGATCGGTGCCCAGCAGTGCAACACACAAGTTCCGCCCATCTGTGCCCAGCAGTGTGCCCACCTGTGCCCAGCAATGCACCCACCTGTGCCCAGCAGTGCGCCCACCTGTGCCACCCAGCAGTGTCACCACCTGTGCCCAGAAGTGCCACCTACCTGTGCCCAGTAGTGCCACCCACCTGTGCCCACCCACCTGTGCCCACCAGTGCTACCCACCAGTGCACATCAGTGCAGCCCAGCAGTTCTGCCAGTCAGTGCCACCAGTCAGTGCCCAGCGGTTGTGCCAGTCAGTGCCCAGCAGTGCCGCCAGTCAGTGCCCAGCAGTGATGTCAGTCAGTGCCACCTATCAGTACCCATTATCAGTGTCGCCTATCAGTGCCACCAATCAGTGCCGCATATCAGTGCCACCTATCCGTGACACCTCATTAGTGCTGCCTATCAGTGCCGCCTATCCGTGACACCTCATTAGTGCTGCCTATCAGTGCTCTTCAGTGCTGCCTATCAGTGCCCATCAGTGCCACCTATCAGTGCCCATCAGTGCTGTCTCATCAACGCACATCAGTGCTGCCTCATCAACGCACATCAGTGAAGGAGAAAAATTACCTGTTTGAAAAATTTTATAATAGAAACAAAGAAACTTTTTTTTTTTCAATTTGTTTTGCACTTTTTTTGCTTATAGCACAAAAAGTAAAGTGCCCAGCAGCGATTAAATACCACCAAAAGAAAGCTCTATTTGTGGGAAAAAATGATAACAATTTCATATGGGTACAATCTTGCATGACCGCGCAATTGTCAATCAAAGTGCGACAGCACTGAAAGCTGAAAATTGGCCTGGTAAATATGGGGGGTATAAGTGCCCAGTAGGCAAGTGGTTAAACTGCTGCATACCTTTTCTCATCAGCAGAGCAGTCTCGTTACTTCTATCAGAGTACTGGTTAAAGCTTGTAGGAAGAGTTTTCATTCTCCCCTGACTGTCCTTTGAGACTGCAAGACCCGGACCCTTTGTCTGGACATCTCTGATTGGCCCTGTACCGATCACATGCACTTACCCCAAGAAAAAAAAAACCTTTTTAGAAATACACACCAAACTGAGCATGTGCAGCTCCCCCCCCCCCCCAAGTCGCTGTGTTATCTGCAATTGGATTTGGGACTGTGGAAGAAGGAGAGTATCAGAGAAGACAGGATCAAACATCCTTTTTACACAATGCAGAGGATTAACCCCGTAGGTTCCACAGTGAATATAACAAGTGTGCTTTACTGCATATACAGACTGACTTTACTGTTGTGGGTTTAGTAACACTTTAAGTAGACATTATTTAGCACATCTCTATCACTATCAGTGAGGATCAGGGCAACAGTAACACTTAATGGAAAATAGCTGTCCTTCAAGAGACTGTTTTAGATAGTACAAAGATCCTGAAGATTCAAAGCAGGTCTTGACTGGAATTAAACAGCTGTGTTCATCACAACTAATTCATTCAATAGTATTTTCCGTTGGTTTACATTCACTCAGCCTCTAACAGAGCTGTTCATGGCAACAAGTAGAATAAACCAATAGGCTACTAAGGTTATGTAGCCAACTCTCCAGCAGTACTAAAATCATGAATGTCATTCAAATTACCTAAATCTGAGTTTTCTGTAATGCATTGCTACAATTTAGAGAACACCTTACAAGTTTACTGCCTAAGGCTACGTTCACACTAGCGTTGTGTGCAGGCGGCAGAGAGGCGTTTGGGAAGCGTTTTTTTACCGCTTCCCAAACGCCTCTGCCAATTCTGCACATTACAGCACATGGTGCTGTTCTAACGGGAGCGTTTGCGTCGCGTCGCGTCGAGGCAAAACGGACGCCTCTGGTCGAGTCAGGAGGCTTTGAAGCCTCCTATTCTCGTCTATGGTGCCGCTCCGCAAACGCCCGGCCGGCACTTGCGGTGCGGTTGCGACGCGGTTGCGGGGCATTTGCGGAGCGGTAACAACACTCAAACTGTATTATAGGCGTTTGTGGGGCGGTATTAACACTCGGCAAACGCCTAGCAACTGCCACTAAACCACGCATGCCGCGTTTGCGGAGCGTTTGCCGAGCGTTAAAAAACGCTCCGCAAACGCCGGACCAACGCTTGCCAAACGCTATAGGGGCGTTTGGCAAGCGTTGGTAAAACAGCCAAGTGTGAACGAGCCCTAAAGCCTATTTTGTGAAATTTCCACCCTCTCATCTTCCTGTATGACCATTTACAATGAAACATACAAGTTTATGAATAAATGGAGCTGGTTTACCACAGAAAGACCTGGATGAAAAACGGAAGTGTTGAGCAGGTAGTCTGTTCTCCCTGTATGCATCTCATGTTTTAAAGTGGTTGAAAAGGCAGAACGATTTTTACTTTAAGGCATTCCATGCATTAAAGTATTAAGATTGAGTCTCAATCCAGTGCTGTTCCCAAGTGCAGTAGTGCTGTGCACTCTTCCTTTCCTCTCAGTACTCAGTGAGAGCAGAGGGAGCTATTGGCTTCTGCTACTGTCAATCAAATCCATGAGGAGGGAACAGGGGGCTGGACCAAGCAATGTAATGTGCGTCTATGGATGCACATAGTCTGGTTAGGACAATTATGGACAATTTCAAGGCACCCTTTAAAATTATAGACAGTCTTTAGGCACCCCATTCTAATAGTTTTACTATTCTAATAGTTTTACATAATGCATTAACATCCATACATGTAGAACACTCAACATTAGAGGTGATTTATTCTTCAATCAAATAGACTTTTGCACATGTGTACTGACTAGTATTCCAATGTTTCTCTTCTCCCTAAGTTTTTTCTCCATCACTCAGCTAATGTGACCCCAATGCTGATGGAAAGGGGCAGGGGAGGGTCAAACTAGGATGCTGTGCAGATGATCAACATCCTCCTTGTCAAGTGCTGATGTAATTAGTTGTTGGGATGCCAGGAGCTAGAAGGTCGCAATGGTGCTCAATGAAAACCCGTGGCTTTGAGAAAACAAAAGGCAGGCTTGGTTCACCTCTAGCTTGTATGCAATTTTTGGGCAATTTTTTAGGTATTTTGCCAAGGCACCCCTGAAGAAACCTCAAGGTACCCCAGGGTGCCTGGGCACCCTGGTTAAAAAAGGCTGGTATAGCCTTTACAACCACTTTGAGTTTCAGTCTTGAACTGCAATGTTACATAGTTACATAGTTAGAGAGGTTGAAAAAAGACACTAGTCTACCTAGTTCAACCAACAACAAAAATATATTGAAAATCCACATATACACAATCCTATACTCACAGATGATCCAGATGAAGGAAAAAAATCCCCAAATAAAGCATGATTCAATTTACTCCAGCAGGGGAAACAATTCCTTTGTGATTCCTGGGAGGCAATCAGATATTCCCTGGATTAACTACCCCTATTACTTCTAAATATTAATATCCAGTTATATTATATGCATTTAGGAAAGCATCCAGGCCTTTTTTAAAACAATGTACTGAGCTGGCCAGAACCAGTTCTTGAGAGAGTCTATTCCACATTTTTATAGCTTTTACTGTGGAGAAACCTTTCCAAATGTGGAAGTTATTTCTCATTTCCTCCAGACGTAAAGAGTTCCCCCTTGTCCTCTGTGATGACCTGAAAGTGAATAACTCTAAACCAAGTTCACTATATGGACTGATTATGTATTTATTGTTGATCATATCCCCCCTTAATCTCCTTCTTAATAGAGAATGAATTCAGTTCAGCTAATCTTTCCTCAAAGCTCCTCTCCTCCATGCCTCTTATCAGTTTGGTTGCCCTTCTCTGTACTTTCTCCAGTTGCCCCATATCCTATTTTGTGAATTGGTGCCCAAAACTGAACTGCATATTCCAGATGAGGTATTACTAATGATTTGTACTGGGGAAAAATGATCTCTCTCTCTCTAGAGTCTATACCTCTTTTAATACAAGAAATTACCTTCAAAAGTTTGTAGCTGCAGCTTCTTGTCCTGCATTGAAATCATTCAGCCAGATAAAACTTAGACACTAGAAAGTCGTTGAGTTATGTATAACAATGCTTCAGTTTAAAAACTGGTATAATAAGTTACTTATTTTTTTGCACTGCAGTAACTCCCAGCACCCGGTTTTCTGACCTGTATAGCCATTCCATGGCTGCCCCTCATCCAGAAATAGCTATGAATATACAGCAATAAGGATTTTTAACACAAATCTCCAGTGAAAAATAAGGAAATAGTACATTATTAAATACATTTAAAAAAGTGTTTGCAGAAATACTAACTTTTATGCCAAGATATCCTCAGTCTTTCGGGTTGAATGATGGCCAGCATGATTTCACTTCCTCTGAGCCCATGTAAACATTTATAGCGTTTCAATGGACAATGAATGCATGCTTCTTTTAAGCACATAAATTTATTGGCTCCTTCTACAGCTTCTTCCACTCCCAGTCTGAGCTCTACTGTATAGGGACTGCAATACCCTGGAGGCTAATAGCAGTTAAAAGGTAGGTACTTATACAGCTTACACTGCATTTAATAATGTATTAAATTAGTTGTAGAGGCTGAAAGTTTTTACCTTCATGAATTTTACGTGCAACAGCACCCCCCTCCCAATACTTACTTTAGCCTTACTGTGATACAGCAATATGCAAAAGAGCCTCGGCTCTCCAGGGACTCTCCCTCCTTATTGGCTGAGACAATCACAACCAGTGAAATAATGAGAAGAGAAAGGGTGCGGGGCCGAGCCACAGCCGTGTGTATGAATGGACATGCAGGGCAGCAGCTATGGAACGAGCCTGCTTGGGTACCCCATAGCAAGCTACTTGCTCTGGGGGCACTAGGCAGGAGGAAGGGGCCAAGAGCACCAGCAGGGGACCTGAGATACAGGACGGATCAGGGTTGTTCTGTGCAAAACCATTACACAGATCAGGTAAGTATGATATGTTATTTAAAAATGCCTTTAATATCACTTTAATGTTTTCAGAGCTGCTTTCATTTGAGTCTTTTGTATTTGCATTCAATTCAGCTTTAGCCCTGGTTCACACTGATGCGGTCCAGAATGGCATCAGCCAGGTATAGTATATACACAACTACATTGGTCCAAGCTGAATCGATGTAACTATGAATAAAATTCCAATGTCTGGAATTATTCTTTAACTCAAAAAAGTACCTTCTATTGCTTTCAGCCTCCTCCAAATTTCTTTTTCTATTTTTTTTTTTCAATTTTCTTTGTAAAGTCCTTTGTAAAGTCCTTTGTAAAGCTTTCATTCTGCTGCGAAGCAACACTAAATGATGGGGATGCTGCTATAGGCTCCTGCTTGTCCAGATCAGTGCAGGCTAGAGGAGAGCTTGTCTCGACTCAATGAACACAGGCATAAAAGACAAAAACTGCCCAAGTGCCACACATCCCTCAAAGTCCACTGGTGTCTTAAGGGGCATAGCCTGGTTGGAACCCATCCTGAAGCTGCTTTCACCATAAACATCAGGGAAATGCGGGACACTTGGTTAGCTTTTGTTACTTATACCTTCATTCTCCTCTCGCAGGAAATATAAAATATACATTTATTCTTAGATACAGGGAATGTTCAGAACATGTTAATAAAACATCTTAGAAACAGCAATGATGTTCAAAAATC